TCAATTTTGCTATGAACCTAAAACTGCTCTAAAATAAGTTTATTAGTTTAAAAAAATACAAAACAAAGGGCTTATTTTAAATATTACTTTCCTCAACTATGTCCATACGCCACAATATATGTTTATCCTTTTGTAACTATTAATCCATTTTGCAATTACACTTTTGAATTTATGTTCTTCCCTTAGGACAAACTCTCATTCAAGTATCATTGCAATTTCTCTAGGATTGTGTTTCATTCAGTATTTTCTTTGTTCCCATATAAGTAAAATAAAACAAAATCAAAGTTTTACCTATTTCCAAAGTGTAGAGAATTTAAAAGGTAATATATGCAAAAACAATGTCAACTTTACATTATACAAATGTAAAAGTACTCTTATTTGTACCTTATTAATGAAATATTACTTGTCTCTACTCTGTGAATGGTCATATTGAGTTTATACTCCTATTTATCCATTCCTCAAAAGGATATTCATCACCCAACATCTTTTCTTTCTACTGGCAAAATTGGAAAGCACAAAGACAACTGTGAGTATTCATTTCTGTGGATCTGCAAGAGTTACTTCGTTCTGTTGTCTTTCAATCTGTAAAGATTCACCTGACACCATGTAGCTAAACATCAACAATTCTGCCTCCTTTCTAGGTGGATGTCTGTATTTGTTTAAAAAGATTTCCTTACCAAGACTGCCAATTTACATACTTAAGTAAAAACTCAAAGAAAATTTGAATATATGAGGACTAATCTAAGGAAACAAAGGGATTTCTCTCCCAATACCCAACACGGTTGGGTGAACTGGAAGATACCGGCAGGTTTCATCAAATAAGACAAGAAACTGTATTTCCCCCTTTTTACAACCTTGGAGGACAACATGTCTTTGTCAACATCTGAGTTTACTACATATGCACTGTGTAATAAAGTAACTGATCATCATTTCTCAGAATAAAATAAAAGAAAAAAAATGCTAGAATTCTAAGGCCTTACAGATGAGAGGTAACATAATTGTAGCAGTCTGTCAGTGACCCACCCACATTCCTCCCATTTACCAGCTCAGCACACACAGACTTGACTTCCAACTGCCAGCATCTGTTTCTCTGACTGAAGGCTTTGTTGCTTGAACCTGCTTTGTAACCCAAGCAGCAGAACAGAATTGCTAGGGAATTAGCACAACGAAGTAACTGATGGGATTTGATGTACAAATACTCAACTTCCTCACCTTTCAAATGAGTTAACTCATTTATTCACGCTGGCTCCCCAAGTCACCCATGGAGTATTAATCTAGTCTTCCACAGTAGTAATTTGCTTGCAAAGACACTCACTTACTGTCAAATAACTGCTTTATTTGTATAGTTTACATTTACTTCATCTATCTCCAGGATAAGATAGATCCAAGGAGAAGAATCTGATACAGATGGTGAAGAGTAACCTTAACCTTTGTTCAGTGTCACAGAATTAGCCAAAATCACAACAAGTATGCCCAGAACCTACGTTTCTTCATCAAAGAAACAGAAAACCTTGCAGAGGCTGAGGGGTGGAGTAGGGGGCAGTTCCCACTCATATTATAGTACAATATCTCAAACCTACTAAAACATAAAATACTCCTATTATCCTTTCCAAAGAAAACTGACATTAAAAAAACTTTTAATGACACCATCTCTTAACCCAGTTATTTTTTAAGTATATCAGTAATGTCATTATGAATTAATATACCGCCTACATTTTTGTAGAGAAAAGAAAAGGGGAAAGTGAAATCTATATTTAAAATAACAGTGGTAATGGTGATGATTAATGTGAGTGCTTTCCAATTTCCTAAAACACTGATATTTTCACAGCTAAATTACCTGATCAGAGCAAACGAATTTATTTTTCTTATCAGGGCTACCAACTTAAAAAAAAAGGGCATTTATAATAACATAATGTAAGTATTTTAAGATAAATATAATATAGTTTATTAACTTTAAAAAGTTGCAAATGTTAAATATTATAAAATAACTACTTTTAAGTATCCATATATTGGCATGTTTCATTCATACGCTGAATACACACTCATTTTGGTCTAAGATTTATAAGATACATCTTGTGGCCAGTTTACTAGAAACAAAGGAAGAAAGGAGGGTGAAATCAAGTAAAGATAAACTACAGGATGGAAGAAGAAAAGATAAACATATAGAGAAAGAAATTTCACAGATTGCCAGCCCCAATTTTTATAACTTCACAAATACACATATACAGTAAAATTCATTCACTCAATAAATACCAAGAAACCACTTAAAATAGACAGTGCTAGGTAGAGGGAATACAATGACAGAAAAAATAGCATTCTCTTTTAAGCTGCTTAAAATTTAGCTGAAGTCAACTTTAGTAACACACTATACACCTCATGATTTAAGCTGAGAAGTCTATTCACATTCAGTAATGAAAATTTAATTGTTAACACTAAAAAATTTAGATTTACAAAATGCATATTTAACCTATTTTATGCTTAAGGTGCAATTCTGAACTTTATTCATTAAAAATACTTAACTACATTTGAAAAATGAGAGTCCAGAAATGTAAAGAAAAACAAACTAAAAAGGAAAAAAAAATTACGATGATAAATGTAAGTTTTGGGGAGGTATATAAAGTCAAGAAATGTCAAACAGAGTTCAAATATTAAAAACCAAACAAAAAGCCTAAACTATCAAATATTCAGTGAAATAAAAATTCAGTTATATAAATTAAGTGGTATCGATTTGAATCAGACAAGTTTAACCTTAGAACAGTTATTTAACCTCTAGGAATATAGATATGAACTTTAATAACTAAGGCATAAGACTTAATAGTCAATAAAGCAAGAGGCTAGAAATGATCTTAAAGAATTAATATTAAACTTTTTAGACTCATCATTTTCCTGAAATGTATGTGTAGTGTGTGTCTCTGAAGCCCTTTCAGATGATTATAGGAAAAAGAATGAGAAATAAACTTTCAAAGCCTGAACCCAATTTTCTTCCATGCTATTTCACTTCAATTTTTCTCAATAAACTGGCAAAGTAATATCCATGAGATGAGTATTACTTATGCTTGGCATAAAAATTTCTTCCAAGTTTGAATTTCCCCATTTGTATATATTTTATATAAATGTCAGAGCTTAGTATTCTTTCATTAAACTCAAGGAGTAAATGCAAACAAAATGTTTTGACAAATTAGCATATATATGCTTGATATATGTAATTTTTTAAAAGTTTACAATGTGGTTTCCACCCTTATTAGGTATTTGGTTATTAAAACTATTAGATATTAGCAAATCATATGGGACAAAATATGATTTAATGATAAACTGTATAGCAGAGAAAGTACAGATCAATGAAAAAGAATACTAAATGAAAATCAAAATAATCTAAGAAGACGTGATTTTCTTATTTCTAGCTTAGAAAAACCTACCTGTCAGTTCTTCTCAACAACAAAAAAGTAAATAATTTACTGAATTTATCTGTTAAATTTTTTTACGTTGAATTACTTCAAAAGCATTATAAATATGAAAATTGGAAATGTCTGGACTTCATTCTGAATGTCTGCTTAATAATCTTGTAGCTATAAGCATCAATGATATCACGCTGACAAACTTGCATGGTCCAATAGAAAGAGCGTGGGTTTAAACCCTCACATACATGGGCAAGACTGCTTGCCCCACTACTTACTTAGCTTTTTGACTATGGGCAAGTTACTTAACCATGCTGAGCCTGTTTCTTCTTAAGTGAAATAAAAATAACAATAACCTCCCATGGTTGGTGAAATGATTAAATAATACACAGTATGTAAAGTGACTAGCACAATGCCAGTCAGAAAAATATGTGCTCAATAACTACTAGTTCCCATATTTGAACACATTTCAAATAGATAACAGAACAGCAAATGACTAGAATGCTCATTTTGCTTTTCATTTTATTCCTCCTTATTAAAAACTAATATGCTAATCTATTAGTAAAGAATAATGTGTTCAGTTTTTAATTTCATTATGATTCTCATTCATCTTTGAGAATTTGATAGAAATCATGGACTTCTTCCTCCCCAAATGCCACATACCTACCAGTATTTCACATCAATTTAGGGACATTAGCAGATCCCCTGAAAGCTTGATTAAAACCTACGTTCTATCTGGATATTTAATTAAAATGTATTCAACTAAATAAAATTAAAAATTCAATTCCTCAGCTGTACTAGCTACATTTCAAGTGTTCAATAGCCACACAAAGCTAAAGCTTAGTAACTACCACAGAAACAGAACATTTCTATCATCTCAGAAACTTCTATCAGAGCTGTTCTGGAGTGTTAACATAGTGTAATAAATAATATTTTTTTTCCTCTGTGTTTTTGCTTTGTTCTGGTTTGTTTTTTAAATATACAAATATAGCTCTTTGAAGTAGATTCCCAAGAGTGTAAAGGCTATGAGTATTCTGTCCACAAATGAATCTCTAGGGTCCAGCATATAATAAGCATTCAATAGGTATCTAATAGCTGACATTATAATTCTGTTTGGTTATGTTAATCTAGTAGAAATTGACTAAGCTGGTAAAGACAACAGTTGAAAGCTGTGATATGAGTATATGAATAGTAAAAAAAAAAAAGAAGCAGGTCAACTTATATATACATACTCTCAACTGGTAACTCCTGAAAGCAATGAGGGCTCCCTATGTTGCAGGCTGAATTTTTTTAATTTAGCTGTACATATTGGCTAGATCACTTAAATAAAATTTTAAGCCCTTTTTATAGCCTACTCTATACAATAGGAAAATGCTTACTTATAGCTAATTAGTTTTTATTAGATAAAATAATCATTTTAAAAATCTAGGATTTATTCTAGTCAGAGCAGTTGAGTAAATCACCAAGGTTTTATAACTTAGAGTATGGTGTTAAGATTTTAGAAAAATGTATTTCCTTTTAACTTATCTTGAAATCAAGGTGCTATATTAAAAATTGGTGCTATATATAGAACAGTAGAAGGTCTAATAATAATTTTGCACTTACACTGCCACATTTTTCCTAATGGTATATTCATCCAAGTCATCATCAGAGCTGCTATCAGTTGCATCAGAATCCAGACCCTCTTCAACATGAGACAATAGTCCTGTAGCAGACAGTGCAAATCTTTGAATTTCTGCAGCTGTACGCCGTGCAAAGCCATTTTTTGTATTATCCCACAGTCTATTCTCTGCAGTCAACATGTTGACATCTGGCTTAATTTCAGTGCACTTAGGTAAACTGTTATCCAAAATCGTAGTAGGTTCATGAAAGGTCTTCATTTTGGGGAGTTGATGTTTCATAGAAAATTTCATTTGCTGACCATAGTGCTTAACAACATGCTTTGCCAGGAGCATCTGCAAATGTTTCTGAGTTCTTCTAGCCTGGCTAAGTAAGATTTTCTGTTTGCTTACACAATGAAGTAAACGAGCATTCACTTCCTCCTCTTTTTCAGCAGCTGAGGAACAAATAGGCACATTTAAGTGGCCAGGCCCAATATTCTTTTGAGCACAGTGCAATACACCCTTTTTAATCTCAGCATCAGTAAGTTTATCCCAAAGTGCATTTGTTTGGCATTTACAGCTTTGCAGTTGTATTTTATCTACATTAGTGTCTTTGGTTTTATTCGAATCCAAAATAATTTGTACATCTGTCATGCACTGGCTTGCAGTATCTTCCTTTTTGATGAACTCTTCAGAATGAGAATGACAGATTTTACTGAGCTGAATGTTGCTGCCATTACACAATACATTTTTCAGTTTATTACAATTGGGTTCCCCACATTTCTTTTGTTTATAATTCTCATTGTATTTACTTAATGTAGAATTAGAACTCATTAGAAGAAGTGTCTGATAATGTTCTGAAGACTGAGGGGAGCCAAAATGTTTTAAATTCACAAAATTAGTGTTAAATGTAGGTTCGGGAGTTGGAAATCCCAGTATCTGAGAGAAATTATCTCCCTGTAGCTTTTCATCATCTACAGCTCTTGGACTTTCCATGCACAGCATCTTGTCAGACTCCATGGTACTTGGTAAAGATGAAAAGCAGATACCCTTTGCTGCTGCTGCTGCCTCCCTCAGAGCTGGGGTCATGGCGAATACTGCAGATAATTACTGGAAACCTAAAGTAATGTAAAAACAAATGATCAAATATCTAGAAAGAAGTTTTTGCTTATACATTTTCCAAGGGCAAAATTTTTAATATTTCTGATTAACACATGAATGGAACCAAACTCTTATTTTCAAACTCTGCTCTTAGCTCATAAGGAATTCAACAGGGTCTATTCTTCATTATATGGGCCTAATACACAAAACTCCAATTAAAGTTGCACATTACCTAACCAAATAAGTGTTATACAAATTATTGTGGATCTGACATCAAGATGCCATTTTTTTTACAGTGTTTAGTGAAGAGTCAAAAGAAAAATTTCAGCCTGGAATTTGGTACTCATACTTGCAAATATGTCAATCCCATACTTTCAGAAGTAATTACTTTTCTTTATAAAAAATAATAAATTGCTCAAAGATGCCACTTCTCAAGTTAAACTTCACAATCTGAACAGTATTAACAATAACTAAAATATGCTAAATAATGCTAGAAGATGTAAGTAAACTGAAATATAAACAAAAAGTATACAATTTCATAGCTGTTCAAAATAATGTGATAGCACAAACTCCCCTAATCTGCAATGTGCAAAATTTTTTCCTGAAAAAGTATCTGCAATAATTTTTCCCTTTTCATAAGTGCACAGTCATCAGTTATCATTATAAAAGTTGCTATTCTTACCTGAAAAATAGTGGGGACTGTGAGAGATGACCACTAATAATTAATACGATAATTAAACACATTTCATTGTATTTTACCAAAATAAAACCATATATTCTGATTCATGACAAATGTTAAGCCAGTACCATTAAAAATTATGAAGACTGAATAGTTAGTGAAAAATTTTTATATCACTGACAATTATAAGTTTTTGAAGATACTTTGCAACTATGACACTCATAGTTTTTGTTTCAAAGCACATGACAGTAAATAGTCATTTAAATGGCCACCCTCCCATATTATATGTCCCCAGGTGCTAACCTTAACTCTATATCATTCATTCCTATTTAAAAACAATACCAAAAGCTGATTCTTTGCAAAGACTAACATGAATGATCAAAAGGAAAAAAAGGAGTAAAACTTTCTATGCAGTTTAAAAAAAACATACACAGGGTTAAAGGCAAGTGATAGACTGACTAGGAGAAGGAATCTGCAACATATATAACAAAGGATTAGTATTCAGAATATATAAAGAACTCCTAGAACTAGGCAAAGTATACAGTAGTCATGCACTTCACAGATAATGATATACAAATGGTCATTACACATATACTTGGTCTCACTAGTAATGAAGGAAATGTAGATTAATAAAGCAAGAGACTAGTTTTCCAATGACCAATCTGAAAAGAATGTTTTAGTCTGAAAATGTCACTTACATTGGGAGTATGGATAAATAAGATTTCTTACATGTATTTGGACAATAAATTGATTCAGTACTTTGACAATAATGTGGAAAATGTGTTTGTCACAGGTGCACAAGAAAGCAGTATAACAGCAATACATTATTTCAAAGCACCCTAAATGTTTAACAGTAGCAGACTACATAATAAACATGGTGAAACATGATATAGTAGTTATAAAAGAATGGCCTGGACCTCTAGGTTTTAATATGAACAAACCTCAAAAACAGTATAAAGTTAAAAAGGAAAAAAAGTACAGCATATATATAGTATGGAACTATATAAATAAAATACAAGCACAAAACAATTCATGTATATGTACATATATCTGTGTTTATGTGTTTGTAAGAATAAAAAATGAGCCAAAGAATACCCACCAAACTTCTAAGAGCAGTTGCATCAGGTAAGTTATGTTTCATGGGAAACAGAACTAAGAGTGGTGGTTTAAGAGGAGTTGAGTTTTAACTACAAAATTTTGTTACCTCAGGGAAAAAGAGTAAATGCAAAATTAATGTTGCATTTCATTCTTTGTAATGAAAATACAGATGTCTGCCTTTTTTATACTTAACTGTATAATGTCTCAAAAAAAGTAGATTTCTGTACAATCTTCTCTCCAAATTCAGTATGTCTCAATATTTTTATATTCTTATATATCTAAAAAATAATAAATCTTATATATGATTCCCATTTATCCTAAGTCCCCAAAAAAAGGAAATAAAAAATGATTACTAGATTTTTAAAATATATATTTTTCACTCAATTTTTATGAGAAATAGAGAAATTATAAAACAACCTAGTATTAGTAATTTTTCTTTCACTATTCAATGTGTCACTTTAACAAACTCAATGACCTTTATCTTTTAAACATATAAAAAAAATACCTAAAATAGTATCTAGATAACTACACTGTTCACTAAGGAAAACTGCATTAATCACAGTTCTTGCTGATGATGTAGTCATACCCCAAAGATATGTTCTATTCCCTGCCTACTCACCTTCTGAACCCTCTCAAATATATAAAGGGTGCTAAGGATATAAGTAAAGTGGCTATCAGCAGGGCAGAAAATGTCATGAGGCAGTAGAGTTCATTACAGGCCCTGAATAACTAAATATAAGGGAAAACTAAAGAGAGGTAGAAAAAAGATATACAGATCAATAGCTAAGAACTAGAGTTGGTAACAAAAAATGGTAAGATATGTAGAGATTAGGAGCTCGCTAAGGCACATTTATGGAAGAGAACTAGAATAAAACACACACACACACACACACACACACACACACACACACACACAAAAACTGTTGAGATCTCTTGGGCTTATTTGATATGACAGACAGCTTTGAAAATGATCTTAAAGTCCCCATCTCCTGGCATTCACATCCTGCTTGTATAATCCTCTCCTCTTGAATGTGGACTGGATTTAGTGAGTTGCTTCTAACAAACAGAATGCAGCAAATATGATGGGAGTATCACTTCTGGGATTAGATTATAAAGAGACTGGCTTCCATCTTGTCACCTTCTCTCACTCCTGAACTCTGGGATGCCAGCAGCCATGTTGTGAGATGGAAAGATCCACATGGCAATGAACTAAGGTCTCCAGCCAACAGACAGCAATGACCTAAAGCCAACAGGCATGTGAATGATCTGAGAAGCAGTCTTCTCCAGTCAAGCCTTCAGATGATGCAGTCCCAGTCAGCACCTAGAGTACAGCCTTGTGAGAAACCTTGAGCCAGAGGCATCCAGTTAAGCCATGCCGAGATTCCTGACCCTTGGAAACTGTGAAATAAATATGCCTTAAGCCACTAAATTTTGGAGTAATTTGTTACATAGCAATAAATAGCTAATATACTTGGATATGAGGACTTTTGGGTTCTAGTCTCTGGAAGGCCCAGCCACATCACAATTCCTACTCTAGGACTTTACCATAAAGTTCCTCTATATTCTATTCCCAAGTGTATCCTTATAAAAAATCCTAGCCTGAAAGTCTCTGTACTTTGCAACCAAAAGAAATCATGAAAATAGATATGTTTCCTATAAATAAATAAGGACTGAATTTTCATATAGTTTTAGCATAAAATGTAAGTGCATTTATGCCGATTTTCTAAATTATTTAAATATATCATCATTGTGTATAACAATGTTTCCTACGTGATTACTCCAAACTCTACCACTTCTGACTACCCCCGTATTACATAAACTATACTTATCACTAATATTTCTAGATCTATGAAGTCTTGGATTTTTGACCATTTTGTTAACTACAATATTGTCAACATGCAGAAGTATCAGACATAGAGCAGATGCTCAATAAATATCTGGCAAATAAGTTAAGTGGTTATTGTTATACTTAGAATAAAATCCAGTCATCCTTACTGTGGCTGACAAAGTTCTAAATTATCAGGTCCCTGACTACTTCTACAATTCTCTCCATGAAGTACTACAGTCTAGAAACACTGGCCCCTTACTATTCTTGAAACATCCCAAGCAAGTCCCTCCCTCAGGGAATTTGTATTTACAGTTCTATCAGTCTGGAACAATTTTCCACAGATAAGATGGCTGGCTCCTTCACCTCATGCTTCTGCTCATCAAAGAGTCCTGACTTGACCAATATATTTAAAATACCTTTAGCCCCTCAATGACTCTCCATTCCTTATGCTGCTTTGTTCCTCATAGCAGTAATCACTACCTAACATTCTTGAGAAGAATATAGTTTATTACATTCTTGAGAAGAATATAGTTTAAAGGCAGAACTCTATTTTGTTAAATATTCTAATCCCCAGCACTTAAAACAATGCCTGGTACAATAGTAACTGACAGATATTTGTTGACTGAATTAATAAACAAACAAACAAATGGGTCATGACTTTTAAAGGTGGCCCAGGTTTTACACAGTAATGAATAGTAACAACACCTGTTTCAGTTATTTCTAAAATAAACCCATAGCAACATATAAAAACAATTAATAGGTCACAACCCAAACATGGCTTATTCCATAAATATAAGACCAGTTCAACATTAAAAAGTCAATCACTGAAATTCATCATGTCAAAAAATACGGTCTTAATAAAGAAAAATATGATCTAAAGAAAATGCATTTGACAAATTTCAATATCCATTCATGATTAGGAAAGAAAATAAAACTCAGCAAATTAGGAAAATGAGGGAAATTGCTTAATCCGATAAAAAGTATCTTTATGGAAGACTAAAAATCACTTCATAATTAATGGTGAAAGGTTGAATATTTTTGCCCTAAAATTGGGAATAAGGCAAGGTGTCTGTTCTCACCACTCCTATTCACCATCATACTAGAAGTCCTAGCCAGTGGAACAGGAAAAGAAAAATGAAATAGAAAGCATACAGATTGAAAAGTAAAAAAGCAAAACTGTGTCTATTTACAGATGAAATGGCTTTCTAAACAGAAAATACTAAGGGGTTTATTAAAAAGCTACTAGATCTAATGAGCTTACTAAGGTCACAGATGTAGGAAATGAAAAGACAAGATAAATGAACTGGAAATAAAAGTTTTAAAAACAATATTGATTCCAATAGCTCCAAAAAAATAACATACCTAGGTATGAGTCTAACAAAATATGTGCAGGATCTATATATTAAAAAAAA